CATCACAGCATACACCGCGTTATGCTTTTAGTCACTCTGTCGATGACAATGAAGTAATCGCAGTCGTCAAGTCATCGGCAAGGCAAGAGGAACTGCGAAGGGGAGAAAAAAAAAAACCCCTAAAGACATCAATCTCATTTATAACAGCCTGGAAAGTTTTTAAAATTTAAAAAGTATAATGCTTGTATTAATGGGCATGTCCAGTGTGTCTTTCACCAGCAGATACGGGAATGAGAAGGAACTCTTCCCCCCCCCCCCACCAATTTACCATATGCATCACGGTGGAAAAGGGATTGAGGTTCTCTAAGGAAACGAGGAAATTGGCCTCGGTGTACGTGAGGTCACTCCGGAGGCTGGTGAACAAGATGTTAACCTAAAAATGTTACCAAATTTCCATTTTTCAGGATGCAGAAGTGACCGTTTTAAAAGCAATGGGATTTTCCTGCAAGGGCAGCAGAGCCGGACGCTGATGCTGTTCTGCTTTGGCACCCTTCCTCTGTCACCCCAAGGCCAGAGGGCTGCGCCCTGGGCACCAGGCAGCTCACCCGACCTCCGAAACGGCCTCGGCTGCAGCGTCAGCGACTGCAGAATTTGATGGACCATTTAATGGGCAGCTTATACTTGTGCCCATTAATTATTTGGAGGTGAAGCGAGGAGCCCATCTCTTTCCTCAGCCTCCGGTTTCGTAACGAACCTTGGATTTTTCTTTTGGATGCCAGCAAATAATGTTCTTCCCCTCCTCAATTTTTTCATACCGTTTATCACAAAGCAGATTCTGAGCAGATTTCGGGCCTGGGCGAGTGTACAGCCTCGCAAACATTTAATAAGGCTGCCCCAAAATCTAGCGCCTATGTAATTTAGAGCCGGGTTCTGCAAATACCGTGCGCGATTCCAGGCCCGTTAGGAGTCTCCCTGGCCTGCTCCTGTGAATATTTGCAAGACCAGGCTCTAAAATGATCCCTGCGCTCCTGCCTGCACCAAAGGCAGGCGATCCAGGACAGACAACCCCGGGAATACCCTGCCTGCGTGGCGGGGTAGGTTTGTCGTGTGTCCCCCCCCTGCGTTTTACGGCTGGTGTCTTGTTCGGTTGGGCGCAATTGTTTCAGGAATGGATTTGCTTATAGCAGCCATGATTTAAGAGTCTTGGCTTCTACTTCCAATGCGATAACTGACTTACCGAGCGACCTTAAGCAACTTACCCGCCCACGCTTCTTATATGAAAAGGGAGCTACTCACCTGTGGGAGCGCGGGCGGGATGGGGACCCTCGGGGACTCCTCCTGCCCTGCAAACCCTGGCGCTGGGAGGTCTAGCCCGAGTTCCCGGCTCCCCTGCAGACTGCAGCGGGGCTGCACAAGCCGCGCAGCCTCTTGGTGGCTCAGTTTCC